GGTTACCGCAGGGGCTGAGGCTGCCGTGCGGGGAGCGCAGAGTCCCACGCATGCGCACTGCCCCTCCTCGGGCCGCGCCGCCGCTCAGTTTCTAGAGCGAGCCCGGAGCTCTAGGGCGGGGACCAGCGCGAGGTGGAGGCCGGGGGTGGAGGCGTGGATCGGAAGCCCTTAACCAGGGTCTTGCCGTGCTGGGTGCCAGCTGGTCCCCAAGATGCTCGCCCCTGCAGCGCCTCCCGGAGCGCTTGTCACGTGGTGGCAGGTGCCGCCCGCCTCCTATTTCCGTTACAAGTCTTGACAGGTCCGCGCTGAAGGTAGCTGGAGTCTGGTCCGTCAGCCCCTTGCTACCGAACCGACCTCACGTCTGCCAGGCAGGCGCTGTGCCACTGCGCGAAATCGCCGGCCCCTGCAGTCCTGTTTTTGACCGATGATTTATTTCACTGAGTAGGAAATACTTTGACATAATAATTGAGATTTTTTACGAGCTTAAAAAATATTCTGCAAGTGAGTATATTTTCATCGTACCTGCCAGGACATGCGTGCAGAATTAGTAAAATTCTAGATGCCTCACTTAAGCACCTACATTATTGGCTAATGATAAAATTTTTGTTAGTAAGTTTGTGTGTGTAAACTCAGGAAAATTCTAATTGCAGTTCTCAAGTTAAGGAATATTAAAATTCCAGTGCCTTTGTGTGACAAATTCTCATCAAAAGTGGCTGTTTGGAAATAGCTACGCATATGCATTCAATAAATTTAAGAGTAGCTTTCTTTATTGATATTTCTACATGAACACAATGGAGAGTTGACAGGAGAATAACAAACAAGACGAGTTACGAGCCAATTGTTGCCACACTCAGATTTGGTTATAACATAAGACACCCTGTCTTCCCCCTAAGATTTAAATTTGCCTTGTCTCTCTTCAGGTGTGTTCATCTTTTGCTACAGGCCCCAGACAAGATGATAGAACGCTCTATGAATTTCGTACCTATTATCTGAAGCCCTCAAAAATGAATGAGTTCATGGAAAATATTAAGAAAAATGTTCATCTTCGGACAGCTCACTCCGAATTGGTTGGATACTGGAGTGTAGAATTTGGAGGCAGAATGAACAAAATGTTTCATATTTGGAAATATGGTATGAGTTATCCCAATTAAGTATCCAGTATAGTGTTGGTTCTGATGCATGTCACGTGAGACTTTCTGGATCTACATTACATACAGTTGTCATCTCCAAGGATACTTTGCTCAAACTCTTAAAGTTATCGTGAATGGGAACATGTAGTCTCACATCTGAAATCATAATAAATTAGATTTTTATTCTTAGAAAAATTTTTGAATCATTTAATGGAAAGATGGTTTATGAAAACTTTAACATACTATTTATAAGACCCCAATTAGATTAAGATCACAAAACAAAAAAGCACTTTTTTTTTTTCTGCTTTGTGATAGGGTCTTACTACCACAAGTTAAACCTTAAACTTGCTATATAAGGGGCTAGGGATTTAGCTCAGCAGCATAGCTCCTGCCTGGCAAGTGCAAGGTTGTGAGTTCAATTCCTGGTACCGGGGGGAAAAAAAAAAAAAAAACCCAAAAACTTGCTAGATAGGCCTGAAACTTATGATCATGCTCATGCCTCAGCTTCCTGAGTGTTAGAATTACAGGCATGGGCCTCCATGACCAAAATTCATATTAACAAAGCTTTGTTTCTTACTAACAAAACTAGGGCTGGATATCAGTAGCTCAGACATAATTCAAATGTTTGGGGCCTTTAAGTAATGAAGGTTCAGAGTGGCTGACAGTTTTTAGCCTCACTCAGTTGTGAGACTTACTAATACTGTTACTTAGAGACCACCTTTGTTTCTTTTCAGGAATTAGTACTATTCCAGGGTAATAAAAGAATAGCAATCAGAGAAAGTTCTTCCCATACTGAAGCTCACATATCTTTGAGGATGGAGAACAAGTTCCAGAGATCCACAGAATCTATTCCAGTATCCAGATTTAATAGTATCAGAGCTTGAGGATATCCAAAGAACTCTTAATAATATCCTTTAATTTTTGCCCATCAGTGTCCAAATTAATATTTGTAAAATACTTTATTATGAAAAGTAATCATTCTATATGCCTAATACTGTATACAGTGTAAGGTATTTCCCTACTGTAATACAATAAACCCCACTAAAACCCAACTTACGCTTTAAATGTGGAACAAATTAAATCATAATGCATTAAGAAAACATGAAGTTCTGATGTACCACACTTAAGATGTAAGGTAGGTGATATTCCTAAAGTCCATCATAAGCTTTATAAAATTACCAATAATCTCAGGAGGTCCAACTTGTAAATATAGTACTAGACCTCTATATATACCTGTTTGGATAATATACAAGGGAAAAAAACGCTGGGTAAAAAAATGTGTAACAATATGTAAGAAAATTAGCACTATTTGCCAAAGAAGAGACTTACACAGTATGTTTCAGTTTCATTTACATTAAAATATATTCAAGGTGTACCTTGCCTTGACTACGTATCGTCATTACCACCAAGACACGTAGTCTTTCTGTAAACTGGCACTATTAGATGCCCCAGTTGAACAATAAGAATAGTTCACTTATATTGCATATTAACTAGGTGCTCAGTAATGTTCTAAGCTCTTTTCGTGTATTTTGATCGTTGCGGCAAACCTGGAGGTCTGTGTAATGTTATTATCTCCATTTCATAGAATAAGAAACTGAGGAAAGTGCAAAAACCTTCCATCTTGGTTACTTTTCTCTTGTTGCTGGGACAAAATACCCGATGCCCCAAATTAAGGAAGGAAAGATTTATTGAGTTCACAATTTGTGAAGGTTTCAGTCCATAATCAGATGACTCCAAGGCAGTGTAGCATGGTACAGGGGCAACACTTCAAGGCGGCAGAAGACAGCAAACACAACAAGAGCAAAAGCGCAGGAACAAGCTTCTTTTCCTCCCTTGTACTGTAAGCAAACCCCACCCCCTACCCCTGACCCAGGGCGGGTGTAGCCCTCACACCATCTCAGTGTGCTCCTCTTACACAAGTAAGGATGTTTACACAGTAAGGACTCTGGCCCCCTGCTGAGTAGCTTAGTTAAACTTCTAAACTCCTCAAGTCAACATGATGTATCAACCATTACACCTACCTAATTGACACAGCTACCTATGAAGTGGTAGAACCTATAAAGCCCATTCTAACACATTATAGTTGTCCTTTGCATTTCTGTTCCACTCGTAACCATGAGCAGTTTGAGAGCAAATGTCACATCTTTTCATGTTGGCCCTTCTAAAAGTATAACACAGTGTTCCTATGTGCTGTGGATGAATGTTTGCTGATTTGCATAGAATCTAGAAAAATATGGGTGATTTTCAATTAAAATTTTTCTTACTTCCTTTCTGCCATAGATAACTTTGCTCACCGAACTGCAGTCCGGAAAGCTTTGGCCAAAGATAAGGAATGGCAAGAACAGTTCCTTATTCCAAATTTGGCTCACATTGATAAACAGGAGATTGAGATCACATATCTGGTCCCTTGGTGCAAAATAGAGAGGCCTGCGAAAGAAGGTAGGTCTTCCTTTGTTTTGATGGGTATGGTGCTAAGGATCTGAAGCAATAAAAATCAAAGTACTGCTAGAAAAAACAAAAATCTTTGGCGTGTATAGCAACGTGCTATGATTGTTGACAGGAAAGTAAATGAAAGCTCTTAGTTTATCCTTAAAATATAAGAATGAGTTAATGGAGGATTTTCCCATATTGAGATTTTACAGATTGGTAAACTCAGCTATGTTACAGAAAAAGTCTTACTGGGTCAGGAAAGTTTGAGAAATTAGCTTTGATATCAGGTTCCATGTGTGGATAAGTGAGAGCAATGTATGAAATTCATAATTTTAAAATACTAGGAGCATTTAAATATAAAACATTTCTGAAAAATTATTAATCATCTTAAATCATTTAAGTGTATCTTTGCTTATGAAACTGTTTGGGAGGAATGAATTATCTGAAGTAGCTAAGCTATATTAATGTAACCCAGCTTTTGTATCTTTCACCATCTTATTTCTCAATTTGAAATTGCTGATTTAAACTATTACCTTAATTCACTTTTAAAGCAAAGGTGAGGTTAAAAAACCACAAACCAATTTAAATTTTTGCCTTTCTTGCCTGGTTCTCTATATTGTTCGTAATTCTTTAGTAAATTTGTGTGTTCCTCTCACCTTTCTTGTCTGATCTACTTATCCCTCAGTTTCTTTATCTCCATTCACCACATTCTAAACATTACAAGTAAAAAGCTTTACAAGGGTTAACTTCGATATTTAGAAATAAGAAAGCCCTCTTTTATTTTTTTATCTCAAGAACTCAGGACTTCAGGTCAGTTGTTCACTTGCTAGTCCTGTTAGAAGTGGAATTCTGTAGCAAGAAATTATATAAAGAATAAAATATCTTCTCTCAAATTTCAAAAGAAGGAAATGTAGATTAGAAGATACTTCTCTTATTAATTTCTTTTCCATAGACTTGAACAGTTCAAATATACCACTGCATTATAAATTCTTGGTTGCATCACCAAAGTTTACAGATTAAAAAAAATTTTAGATAGTACCTTACATATAAATTCTAGTCCTTTTTCCTTTTCTTCCCTGTAATTAACCTTCACAAGTGATTCTTAAGTGTGCACAGACTTTCTAAACATAAAAGCAAGAAAAATTAATGTGAACAGTTAATGAATGTGGCTGCGTAGATATATGGACAATCCTTCAAATATGTAGAGAAAAGTTAATCATGTATCCCTGGAACCTAAACTTGCTTAAAAATTACTTTATTATGTTTCATGAAATAATTATTCTTCTCCCTGTTCTAGGAATCTATGAACTGGCTATTTTTCAGATGAAACCTGGTGGCCCAGCTCTGTGGGGTGATGCATTTAAAAGAGCAATTAATGTCCATGTTGATCTAGGCTATACAAAATTAGTTGGTGTTTTCCACACAGAATATGGATTACTCAACAGAGGTACAATTGTCTGCTTCCTCTGATTTTACATATATTGGTAATCTTATGCTTCTTGGGTCAGTTTTCTTTTTTCATTATACTGTATAATTTTTATTGCCTTTTTTGTTGTTCTTTTGTAATTTTAAGATTTGAAAAACCTGGTTTAAATCTTAGTTTTTTAGAATGTTAATACCTTATGGAGCCTGTTTCAAATGCTGAACTACTTTCAGAATAATAAAATTTAAAAACTGGAAGATTCCCTAAAATATTTTTTTCATCTTTTTTCTTTTTTCCTCTATTATTTTCTAGATTTTTCTCAAAGTAACATTACTTGGAGTAGAAATATAGTTTGTGAGTGAAAAATGTAATGTAGGTTTTTACAAATGCTCAAAACATAAAGAAGCCCAAAGAAAAAAATTACCCATTTCCCATTACTACAAGGTAATATTGTTTTATGTATAAAAATGACATGGGAATATGAAGACTAAAATGTTATCAGGTATAAAAAACAAGGCTAGAAACAATGCCTGGGTGGCAATAACTTCATAACATTCTATCATGGATGCATAGACACATTAGGTAGATACATAGACTGACTTTAAGAAAATGTATTTGGATCATTAATTCTTAAAGTTGAAAACAATGGCAGTGAGAATTTCAGAGAGGCTTTCTGATAAACTCTAAAAAGTGTGTGTAAAACTCATCTAGAAAGATAAATGATTATAAATAGCTCATAAGATGTTTGAAAGATTCACTGTGTCTGATTGCCTCTTAAACATCCCTCATAGAGATCTTTGTTGAAAAATGGAATTTTATCCCTTTAATTTGCATCTTCTAGAGAGCTCTAGCCTAACCCATTCAAAGCCTAGCTCTTGATCTTTACCAAGAACTTTAACCTCTGGTGATATATCCAAAGAAAATAATGAGAATATACAGAAAAAAACATGTTTTCACGTTGGAAAATATATGAAGAAGAGAAAATTTACAGAAATTGTTAGATGTCTATTTCATACCATATGTTAAATTAAAATGGATTATAAATTCAATGTAAAAAAGTCATAAATTATTAAGATAAAAATATCAATGAATTTATATAATATTATGGATGAACTACAAGTATATTCTAAGCCAGAAAGTAAATGAAGGTTCAAGCTTTCTACATGTCCCAGATCACTATAAATGCAATTCAAAACCAAAGAAAACAGGCAAAAGTAGATATACAGATAGCTACGAAGTTATTTTAAAGAAGATGCAAATTAAAATAATGATACCATTTTTTATCAAGTAAGGCCTATATATAGTTACAATGTTGGGTGGGTCAGGGAAAAACTAAATACTCATTTATTGTATATACTTCATATTGGCAGATTTTTGTTGTAAAAATTTGCCAATATAAATAAAAATATGTATTTTTTATTGTCTTTGTCAGTATGGATGTGTAAGTGTGTGGATTTACTTGTTTGTTCAGGAATAAAACTTGAAAGGATATATAGTGTGTTCTACCATAGTCACATTTGGATGGTAGGACTAAAGATTTTTTTTTTTAAGTCTCTTAGTTTCCTACACCAGACATGCAACTTTTATAAGAAGAAAAGATACTGAAAATGTGTGTGTGCAAATTTCTTAATTTAAATTCATTCTCAGTGAAATGGAAGAATGATAATACACAGAATATAAATTGATACATCATTACTGAATGGAAGTGTATAATATATATATATATATATATATATATATATATATCATGTAAAAATATGTATACTCTTCAGTTATCTCAATTTAAATTTTAGGAGTTTATATTAAGAAAATAGATTTAGATTGCCTGGATTTGAATCCCAGTTCCATAGTTTAACACTGTGACTTTAGGTGGGTTACATAGTCAACTCTGCTTTAGTTTCCTTACCCATAAAATTAGGGTAGAGTAATCTACCACCTGGATTATCAGGAGCACCAAATTAGGTAATACATGAAAAATGCTTAAAACCAATCCTAGAACATAATAGCTATCCAGTAAACATCAGTAGTCATAGTTATGGACATTATTATAGGTATCCAGTGAGTGCTACTCTAATGAGGTTTATGTCAGCTTTGATACAATAAGGAAATACTGGCATCAGCGTGATATGACCCTAATTATGTAATAAATATGCTCATAATGCGGAAGTAGAAGTGCATATGCATTCTATACATCCTATATCTTATTGAACATAAAGCATGCATACTGTGTGAATATAAATACATCAACATAAAGTATGTATGTCTCAATCTTGAGTTGATACACCAAAATAAAAAAGTGATCCTTTGGGGGTGGTAAGAATAGAAATGGTTCTTATTTTCTTCTAACTTTCCAAAGTCTTCACAGCTAACAGCAAATTCTAATTACAAAACTACGTGAATAATTATGTACAAGAATGTCTATTTCACTCTTTTAGAGAGTACTACAGTATTGATGGTAATCTAACAGTAAGGAGTTGAGAAAATAAGGAGTTATGCAGATAAGGGGAGTGTAATAGATAACGAGACTAATTTGATTTACTTTTCTTAAAATGGAAATATATCTTAATAGAGTTTACATTGGCAGTGAAGGTGATATTTTCATTTTCTACTTTGTGTCTAAATTTTCTATAGTAAGCACAAGTTTTTGTGATGTTTTTTTAAATAAAATATAATAGGAATGCATGAGATATGGGTCTAATCTTAACTGTAGTTTGTTTGTTGTTTGTTTGTTTGTTGAGACAGAGTCTCACTATGTAGTTCACGCTGTGCTTGAATTCACTATGTAGCCCAGGCCAGCCTGAAACTTGCAGCAATCCTCCTACCTCAGCCTCCCAAGCGCTGGGATTATAGGCGAGCACCAGCAAGCCCAGGTTTAACTGTGGTTTTCCTTTTTCTTTTTCTTTTTCTTTTAATATCTTTTTGAGACAGGGTCTCGCTAGGCAGTTCAGGCTGGCCTTGAGCTCACTTTGTAGCCCAGGCTGATCTCGAACTTGCAACAATCCTCCTGCCTCAGCCGCCCAAGTGCTGGGATTACAGGTGTGCACCACCATTCCCGGCTTGTGGTTTTTAACTGTTACTTTACTTCCCTTCTTCAGCCTCCTGTTTCCAATTTGATTAATTGATGTATAAATTTCTACCCCACATCTCGGACTCCTGTGAAATCTTATATATTTAAAAACTAACATTAAAATCTATTATTAAAAAGCTAATATAAAACTAACATACGGTTCATTTCTGCAGTTCATGTTCTTTGGTGGTATGAGACCGCTGACAGTCGTGCAGCTGGGAGACATCAGTCTCACGAGGATCCCAGAGTTGTAGCAGCTGGTAAGCCATTTCACTGGACATGGATTATTTTTAGAACAAAGTTGAATCAGCCATCAGTCACCTAATGTATCTCCTTATGAAATGTTTTTCCAGTTCGGGAAAGTGTGAACTATCTAGAGACGCAGCAGAATATGCTTCTGATTCCGACCTCATTTTCACCACTGAAGTAGTTGGTACTGAAAATACACAGCATTTCATTAAATGGTATACAATATATCTGCTGATGGTGCTTGAATTCTCCCAGAAAAATTATTCTCATTCTTATTTGAAGGGGTGGTAAGTTAATTCACGATGTTCCTTATGATTTTTAAAGCTACCTCTCTCATTTGTCACCACTTCAGAAAACAGTTCTGTTCATTTTTTCCTGGGCATTTAGTATCACTTGTACATGAGAAACAGTTGTCATTACTTAATGATCTTGATTTTTTCATTTGTTTCTCAATATCTTCTATATTTTGACAGCCCTTTGCCATATATTGTTTTCTTATATTCACATATTGATTTTCTATTTCCTTGCCTTACAGTATTTGAAAATGAGTTACATACACTATCTTTTCATTGTTTGTTTTTCTGAGATTTAAAGATAGTTTTCCTGGTAAAGTTTACTTTGTAACATCGGATGGAGTTCATAAAAATATTAAATCAAATATATTTCTTTACTTTGGAAAAGTACAGTATCATGTCTGTCATCTTTGTTAGTCATGGTTTTCAAATTATCACGTCATTCTGAGTTGCAAAATAATGTAATTATGTCACAGCATTAGAAATCTAGAGAAGAATTTTTGGCTTATATGCTGAAATATGTTCATTATTTATTAATTTTCACTTCACCTTGGGTCCCTCACAAAAATCCTGGGACATTTATTTGTTTTAAAGAGATCTTTATGATTATGAAAATGTTTGCCATAATAAAAGCCTGTATATCCATTCTTATTTTTTAAAATGTGTGTTTTATATTTATATCCTTCTCTCTGAAGGTCTTACTGTGTTGCTAGAGGGTGGAGTCATAATAATATCCTACCATTTTTATTATTACATCATGAAAATAGCATGCTAGTATTATACATAGCTAAGTTAAGTAGAAATATTCTAGGCAGGCGGGCAGGGTAGGCCCTCGAGAGAATCGGTGCAGAGGATGAGAATACATTACAGCTGTGGCTGGAGGTGCATCTGTTGGAGGCCCGGCCTGAGGATAAAGATGGAATGACCAGGCCTGCAGGTGTCCTCAAGAGATAAGCAATAAATTGAAGATTGTATTATAATTGATATCACCTGGTTCTATAAAGTCTACATAGACATCAGTCACACAGGTAGGTGCCAAGGTCCTCCTGATCCATCCCTTCCTTATGTTTTTCTAACCAGGGTGACGGGTCCCGAGAACAAGGTGCCCACAGATGATAAGAAGAAGTAAGAGAGACAAGAAAAACAAGAGAGGCAAAAGTCTGGGATCAGGGGGCTTACAGCTTCTCGGACTGTAGCCCCGATTACCAGTCTCAGTCACCTTTTATTGGGCTAGAACCAAGAGCATAGCTAGTACAAATGGGCAGATACCAAACGTTTCAGTAATTAAAGCGTTATCCTTCTCCAATTCTTCCTCTTACGCTGCTGGCAACAATCCCCAGGTGGGCCTCCCACACCCAGCACCACGCTCACTCAGTTCAGCTGGGGGTTATAAGTTGACCACTAGTTCTCAATCCACTACAGTCACAGTCCTTACTTCGTATTAATTTTTACAGTGCATGGCAAGACTAAACAATAAGGATCTCCTGCAATTCAAATACCCTCTTATCTTCAGGTGAAAGGTTTCAGTTCATTTTTACAATAAACAAATCATTGTGTGTCCTCAGTGCTCTCTAATCAAAGAATGTCCTTCTCCCCATCCTTAAAAGGTCTTTGTTCTTTCCGTGCACATGTGCTATGTGACCTGCTTCCCCTTTAGATCAAAAGTACTTAAGTGTCTATACTTATAATCTTATTGGTTGCTCATAGTCTTGATCCATATTGTACCCACCTCATGAGTGATTTTGCTCTATAAAACTTCTTCTGGGAAGTGGGGTTGTGGCAGCCTACTTCTAGTCCCCTCCTGTCTCTCAGGAGCTACTTCTCTCAATAAATTTTTCCTATTCTTAATGTCCATTGTTTCTTAGAATTCATTCTTCAATTTTGGGAAACATGAACTCTGACACCTAGGAGGTAGGGAATTACAATTATTCCCCCTGTATCACTGGTAACCCCAGAAGGAGAGTTTTCTAAGTACTACCACAGATGTTCCTAGGGTTCTCCTTTTCATTTTATCTGACTCCTCTACTTTTCTAAATGAGGTTTGCTACTCCAAGCTCTCATGATAGTCTATATTTATTCTATATTACTTTACATTTCTAAAATACATTGCTAGTATTATAGTGTAAAGTAATAATTATGAATTAGCTTTCAGTGGAAATTTGGAAAATAGAAATATGGTTTTCTCTCCTTTATCAGGCTACAGACACTCTGTAGTTTATCTAGATATTATTCGTTGTGAGATGTTATCCAGAAAAGGCAGGCAATGACAACTTATATAGACACATGCCCCCTCAGTATTCTCTGTGCATAGTTCAAAGAGTCCTAATACATCTCACGTTTGTGTAAAATCTGGTGACATGATATACACTTGATACTTAACATACACATAAATCATCAATTAAAGAATTGAAATTAAATTAAAATTTCAAAGTTAACTTGAAAATCAAACAGAAGATATTTGAACTTTTTGCTTCTAGAATACTGTCATGCTATAGGACTGTTAGCAGCAGTTGTCTTTGATCCATACTATAATAAAGCATTGGGCGAGAGGAAAGCTTCCACTTTGATCTTTGTAATGGATCTCCGCAGAGTTATTGTAAAGACTTCCCTGGGTTGAGCCAAAATAGGATCACTTGGTTTAAATTGTGTACATACATGTTCATCATACTCAGTGCAAAACTGGATTTTGACTTCTAAAACTTAACAGAGATTTGCTATTCTGAAGATGAAAGTAATTTATAGATACATCTTCCTATTGTAGTATTTTCTTTCATTTATTCTTCCAGTCTCCTAGATGACTCAACACCTGCTCCCCATTTTCATTCTTATTTGATAGGATAAATATAATCAGAAGACTTTCCACAAGTTCCCACCTGTTATGGTTTGTGTCTGTGTGTCCCCCCAAAGCCTCATGCGGCCATGGGGCAGGCTTTTAGAGTTTGATTGATTATGGGTGTGAGAGCTACACCCACCCTGGGGTGGATAGTTTGCATATGTAAGGGAGAAAAGAGGCTGCTTGCGGCCATTTCCTGGCTTTTGTGTTTGTTGCTTTGCTGTGTTCCGTCATCATGAGCTGTAGCCCTCTGCCGTGTGCCACTCTACCTTGTAATCTGCCAAGTATGGACTGAAACCTCCACAAACTGTAAGCAAAATAAACCTTTCCTTCCTTAATTTTGGGCGTCAGGTATTTTGTCCCAGCAATGAGAGAAAAGTAACCGAGACACCACCTAAGCCAAGTTCACGTGCTCTACTGTAACTGTATCCATGTAGCTCTCAGGTCCTTGTTTTGGAGCAAGGAACATTGAAGCCGACAAAACTGCAAGCAGCAAGCCAAACACCAAGTGCTGAGGAACGGCCAGATGCCCATTCATTAGAAAGAATAAAAGAGAGGCTCTCTGCTAATCAGAGAGGAGTGTTATGTAAGGCAGACTCTGTAGATGTTTAAGTCCACTGGCTTTGTGTACAGTTTTTGGGGCCTATGTGACAGAAAGCAGGCATGCTTGTGGTTGCAGGTAGGCCTTTGATGGCTCCAAAACTTTGCATTTCGCTTCCTCCAAAGTCTGTCCCATTTGGTTAAGGACCTATTCTTTGTCTCTCACTTTATTAGGCCCTGATGGTCAGTTTTGGTATGCTAATTTACTTAGGCCCTGACTCTTACTTATTTAGGACCTGTGCTCTGTCTAACTCCCCCTATCTCCCCCTGTTCTAAATGAATACTCCATGCTCTGAGCAAACGCAGACTCCTCCACTGTCCACACCCTTGCTGAGAGATGCGCCTGCAGCATTTTTCTGTATCCTGGAGCTAACTGCTTTCCCCTCAGCTGAATCCTCTTCAGCATACAGATATGCTATTATTTTCTCATATTTTAAAAAATAAAGACTGCCAACCTCATTTTTCCCCCTTTGTATGACTCAAGCAAGGTACCCATCATATGAGGTGTCCAGGCTTCCTACCTCTGTTTTATCCCTTCCCATTCTCTCTCAAACATCCTCTAAACTGCACAGCAGCCAAACTGCTCTTGTGGAACTCCCTTCCCAGTGCTCATTTTCCTTCTTAGCAATTAGAGATACAGTACTACTTTAGCCTTCTTTTCTCATGAGCATCTTCTGGTCTCCACCTGTCTCTTCCACCTCTGATGTGTAATATTCCTTGGTTCTTTCCTGTTCTATTTTCACTCATTCTCTGTATCATTTCCTGAATGCATGGCTGCAAATAGCATCTGTGTGTTGTCAGCCCCTCCAAGTCACACCTCCTCCCTGAATGTCAGCCTTATCCCAGTGCTGTCTCAGTACCTTCACCTGAACTTTATTAGAAACATCACATGTCTAAAACTGAGCTCCTGATCTTTACCCAGGAAACTCTATCTCAGTTAATGGCAACTCCATTTTTCCATTTGTTCAGGTCACAAACCTCAGAGTCATTCTTGTCCCCTTCTTTTTCTCACACCACATTGTGTCTGCCAGCAAATTCCAACTATCCAAGATCTGATTGTTTCTCATCTCTACAGCCACCATTCTAGCTGAAAGCAGTCATCATCTGGATTTTAGGAAAGGCTCTGGCCACCTCCCTTGGCTCCCATCTATAGCAGCCGGATAACAGAACTCATAAGTCAGCTCATGTGACTCTTGCTCACCACCTCCCACCTCAGTACCTCTTGTCTCATTTGGTGTAAGTATCCAAAGACCTTACAGTGACCTACTAGACATTACATCATCTTCCTTGTTATCTTTTGCCTTACCTATTTCTCTTTCTCAGCTTAAGAGGATTTTTCTTAGCCTAAGAGATTTTTTCTGACCAACTAATGTTACATTGTTTTGGGGTCTGTTCTCCCTGCATAGAATGTTCTCCCTTAGACATGGATCTACATAAATCACCTGACCCTCTCCTTGAGGTCTTTACCCCAAAGCACCATGAGGCTTTCCCTGACATCCTTATTTAAAATTGTAGTCCTCTCCCACAGCATCCTTATTTGCTACCAGTTGAATGCCCCTCCGTATGTTGAAGCATTCATTCCCAATATGAAGGTATTTGGAGGTGAGGCTTTTGGGAAATAATTAGGTGTAGATAAGGAAGAGGTGCTCCCATGATAGATTATTGTTTTCATAATTGGATGAAGAGTATTATAAGTTTTCTTTTTGTCTTTGCTATGTGAGCAAAATAGAGGACCCTCGCCAGAACCCATGCTGGCACCCTGATCTCAGAATTCCCAGCCTCTAGAACATCACATGTCTAAAACAGCTCTAGAACTCTAGAACTATAAGAAGTAAATGTTTGCTCTTTAAATCAGTCTATGATATCCCTATGCTAACAGCCTAAACTAAGACACTGTCCCTATCCCCTGTGTTGTTTTTCTCAGTGTCACTCACCACCGTATTATTTTACTTATATATGACCTACTATTGTGTGTTTCCTGCTACTAGAAACTAAACTTCATGGGTGCAGGGGTTTTCGTTTTAATCACTTGGTAGGCCCTGGCTAAGTTTTTGTTGATTGCATTAACATATGAAATGTGCTACTGTTTAGACATAGTTTGGATGCCCCACAAATTAATATACTGGCAGCTTGGTCCCCATTGGTCACATTGTGGTGGAACCTTTAAGATGTGGCACCTAAGGGAAGGTAGTTAGGTCATTAGTGGTACCATCCTCCT